TCCACGCTCACCGCACCATGAGGAGAGTAACTTTACAACGGTAGTGAGCTAGACTACAGGGTTGGCACGAACTACTAGAGGTGATCTTAGCTTTACTTGGTTCCTTAGAGTTAGCACATTTACGGAAGAATTTGCAAGAGTTTCCACTAGCAAAGTTGGAATCCCAGAATCATACAACAAGAGATAGCAACAATGACTACATCAGGCACCTAGCAACCCTGCTGCTAGCTTGGTCGACCGCCAGCACAGCTCGGTCGACCGCCTGCCAGCGTTGCGTAGAGGAGCCGCGCCAGTACTGCAGAAAGGCGACCTGCCAACGTAGCAGGTCGTCAGCGTGCCAACGCTGCAGCAGAGCGGCTGTCCAGCGTTGCCCCGTAGAACGCAGCAGTGTGCACGCTCGCAGGTGTGCTTAGACGATTGGCCCGACTTGCCTCGCTGGGCATCGCGTCGGCTTTGTCTGCGCCTGACGAGCCACATCAACTTCGGGATACCAGCCCAAAGTCGCCTGCGCCATCGCGATCTCGACAACGTTCGCGTGCCTCCGCAGAACTCGTCGAGCAGGTTACCCGGTCGACCTGGTCGACCCCTGGTGCTCTGGTCGACTCCCAGGTGCCTCCCGTCGACCACTGGGTCCATCTGGTCGACCACCGGGCGCTCCTGGTCCGACCACACCTCCCGTCAAGCTACACCCTTGGTCGACGGACCCCTTTCGTCGACCAAAACTGCTTCCGTTGACCTCCCGGTCGAACTGCAGTTCGACGGGATTGCTCCGTTGACCTCCCGGTCGAACTGTAGGTCGGCGGACTGCTTTGTCGACCTCCCGGATGGCTCACCCGTCGCCCAGGCCAGTCAGTTGCAGCTGACGAGCATCCTGGTCGACAGCAACACCACAGCGGTCCGCTGCAGCTCGTCGTAACCTGTCGAGCAGCTATCCCACTGTGAACGGTCAGCTGCTACTCCCGTACATCCGACCAAGTTGTCGGCGTTGCCCAACGCGAGGGCGAGGCCAACACTCCATTCCCGTTTAACACTCCTCACCTGCCTCTGCCGCGCTAGGCCGTCTCTCACTCCCCTACCTGTTTCCCGACCTGGCCTCGTTCCACACAGTCGCTGACCTCATCACGCACCTCCGTACTAGTGAGGCCCCGCTTCCGTGCCGCCCATGCCCCGATGAGTTGTCTTGCCAAGAAACCCCTCCCCCGCTCTGGCTCACTCTCTACACCTAGTCACCCGCCTCCCTGACACTCTGTTGTGCTGTTCAAGGAATCACTTCCTAGCTCGCTGCCCCAATGAGCTCACCATTGCCCTCCTCGAGAAGGAACTACTTGCAGCTGAGGCTAGTTTAGGGTCGCTGTAGGTGCCTCTCGTGGAGAACCCCGCACCCCTTTCTTTGAGGGGTTGTTCCCCTATCCCCCCTTCTTCCTCTGTAGCCTCTGCTTCTGCTGTCGACCTCCTTGGTTCTGAGAAGGTCGGGGCTGCGTCCTGCCTCGATGCGGGCGCCGCAGCGGCAAGGGCAAAGGGGGCAAGGGAGGCGGAGGTGACGGCGGGGGATGGCGGTGGTGGGGGTGGTGGCGGCGGTGGGGGTGGTGGTGGGGACTGGTGGGCTAGTGGCGCGGTGGGGGTGGTGGCGGCAACGGCGGGGGCGGCTGGCAGGGGCGGGGCGTGGTGGGGGCGGGCGGTGGACGCGACAGCGGCGGCAGGGGAGGAGGTGGTGGCGGCAATGGTGGTCGTGGAGGCACTGGCGGTGGCCAGAGCCTACAACACTCTCCGTCGCCCCAGAGCTCCGTGAGTGGTACACTCAGCACGGGGGGTGGGGGGTGGTGGTCTTAGCTGCACGTACGTCATCCGCACTGGTGACCGGACTGGTCAGACGTGTGGGAGGGCGCACCCCCACGCAGCGCTGTTTCTCACGCCTCGACGACGCTTGGCATACTCAGTTCCCTGCCGCCACTGAGCTGCCCCGCTGGGCTGATCTGATGAAGCAAAACATTGATAACTTTGCTCTAGACTTTGATGCTATTCTCTCTGCCATGTATGTGATGTCTGTTAGTGGAGAGGGCGCCCAGTACCTGCGTGTTCCGCCCGACCCGGGCATCCTACCCGGTTGAGGCTACTGCTCTAGGTGCTAGGGTGTCTGCTACCCCAGGTGCTGGTGAGGCTGCTGCTCTAGGTGCTGGTGCGTCTGTGCCCCCTGTTATTGAGTCGACTGAGGCACTGCACACCTTTACACTAGACTCAGGTGCCTCCCGCTGTTTCTTTCGTGACCGCACGGCTCTCGAGCAGCTTGCTCGGCCCGTTGCAGTCTCTCTCGCTGGCCCCTCTGGGGGTCCAGTCCTTGCGACCTCCTCCACTGTCCTCCCCTGTCCGGCCGTCCCGTCGGGCACACTGTCTGGTCTCTACCTCCCCTCGTTCTCTACGAACTTGGTGGCGGGTAGTGCGCTCCAGGACAAGGGTGTCCACTAGTTCACCCCCGCCTACGAGCGCGTGACACACTGCATGTGTGCTCGTACGGGCCGGTCACCTGACGACCTTCACACGGCAGCCGGGGTCGGACCTGTACACACTGACTACTGAGTCCCCGCAGGTAGCTGCGTCTGCGTCAGGCCAGCTGTCGGCCCCCTGCTCGTGCCGCTCTCTGGCGCACGAGACAGTCCTCTGGCACCACCGCCTTGGTCACCCGTCCATGCAGCCCCTTCGGGCAATGCACAAACGGTACCTTGTCTCTGGTCTTCCCAGGGTTCTCCCTCCCCTCCCTGCCTCGCCTGCTCCTCCCTGCCTTCCCTCTGTCGAGGGGCGGCAGCGCGCTGCTCCTCACTCCTCGTTTCCCCCGACGACTGCTCCCTTGCAGACGCTCCACATGGACGTGTGGGGCCCCGCCCGCGTCCGTGGTCAGGGTCAGGAAAGGTACTTCCTGATAGTTGTTGACGACTACTCGCGCTACACCACGGTCTTCCCCTTGCACACCAAGGGTGAGGTCCCTGATGTTTTGATCCCTTGGATCCGCGCTTCTCGTCTGCAGCTCAGCGAGCGTTTCCACTCGGACTTTCCTGTCCTGCACTTGCACTCAGACAAAGGTGGTGAGTTCTCCTCTGACCTCTTGGCAGCCTACTTTGCGGAGCACGGCATCCGCCAGTCGTTCACGCTTCCGGCCTCTCCACAACAGAATGGGGTTGCTGAGCGCCGCATTGGCTTGGTCATGGAGGTCGCTCGTACCTCCTTGATCCATGCGGCTGCCCCCCACTTTCTGTGGCCGTTTGCGGTCCGATACGCTGCGCATCAGCTCAACCTCTGGCCCCGTGTCTCCTTGCCGGAGACCTCCCCGACACTCTGCGTTGGACGGGAGAGGTTGGCGATGCGTTGCGTTTTCGGGTCTGGGGATCCCGAGCCTTTGTTCGCGATACGTCCGCGGACAAGCTCTCCTCCCGCGCGGTTCCGTGTGTGTTTCCTAGGCTTTGTTCCGGACGTGGCTGGTTGGCAGTTTTACCACCCCACCTCGCGCCGTGTCCTCGCCTCTCAGGACGTCACCTTTGACGAGTCGGTACCCTTCTACCGCCACTTCCCCTACCGCACTGCCCTGCTCCCTCCCCCGCCTCTCTTCCTCGCGCCACGTGCTGCTGTAGTAGATATCCTCCCCCCTCAGGGTGCCGCTCCCTCAGGTGTGTCCCAGGTAGACCGAGTTGAGCCTGTCAAGGTAGCTCTCGACTCTCGTCCTGCTCGGGGTGCTGATCCTGAGCGTGCGGAGCCTGGGGTTGCGGAGACTGGGGGTGCTGAGCCTGGGGGTGTAGAGTCTGGGGGTGCAGAGTCTGGGGTTACTGAGCCTGGGGGTGCGGAGTCTGGGGGTGCTGAGCCTGGGAGTATGGAGCCTACTTGTGCTGAGTCTGGGGGTGCTGAGTCTAGGGGTGCTGAGCCTGGGAGTGCTACGCCTGGAGGAGCTCTCTCCTCACAGCAGCTGCGTGAGTGGTACTTACAGTACTGCAACCTCAGGAGAGATGCTTCTGGAGCTAGGGGTGCTGCTGGAGCTGGTGCTCGTGCTTCCTCGCCTAGGCGGGAGCTGCCCTCTCCCTAGTGTCTTCGTGAGTGGTACGCACGGCGCTGCAGTCTCAGGAGTGGCGCTCCTAGTGTCGCGGACCCTGCTGCTGGTGCTGCGGACCCTGGAGTTGGAGCTGCTGCTGGTGCTGCGGACCCGGGCATTGGAGCTGCTGCTGGTGTTGCAGACCCGGGCGTTGGAGCTGCTGCTGGTGCTGCAGACCCGGGCGTTGGAGTTGCTGCTGGTGCTGCGGACCCGGGGGTTGGAGCTGCTGCTGGTGCTGCTGACCCGGGCGTTGGAGCTGCTGCTGGTGCTGCTGACCCGGGCGTTGGAGCTGCTACTGGTGCTGCAGACCTGAGAGTTGGTGCTACAGCTGGTGCTGCGGACCCGGGCGTTGGAGCTGCTGCTGGTGCTGCAAACCCGGGCGTTGGAGGTGCTGGGGGTGCTGCTGGAGCTGCTGGAGTTTCTGGTGCTGTCTCTGCTGCTGCAGGGGGCACCTCACGGCCGCGGCCGTACTTTGTTCCACTCTTTCAGCAGGTTCTTGGTCAGTCACCTCCGCCTTGTCCCCCTCCTTCTGTAGAGTGTCCACCGCCGGTCCAGACGCAGTCACAGCTACCGCCTGCCTCGCCACTTCCTCGTCCTTCTCCCTACACTGGTCCTACAGGCGGTCTCACAGAGCATCGTCAGCGTGAGTCTCGCCCTGTGTCACCTGTGTCCCGTCCTTAGTCCCCTGTTCATACTACTTCCACCAATCGCCGTACTCCGCGTGAGCGTCCGCCACCAGACCCTGGCACACACCGGATGTCACTGCATCCCTCCACTGCTCCGCAGCGTGTCCCTCTGCCGTCTTCTCCTGAGTCCTCTCTTCCTGCTCTTGCTGACCCTGAGTCTGACTCTCTTCGTGCTGCCAGTCCTACTGTCACGCGTCTCCTAGCCACTGCCGTCACTGACCCTTCCTTTGAGTCTGCTGCTGCGTCTGCCCTAGTTGCTGAGCTTGTCGACTTTGCTGCTCGCTGCCGTCTAGACTAAGCTGCCAGTCTTGTCGTTGAGTCTGAGTCTGTGTGTCCTCCGTCTGTCGGGGGTGAGTGTGCTCTTAGCACGGACGTCCTTGAGGACAGACAAGAGAATCTTGAGTGTCTTGCAGCCGCTGCGCCCCATCTCGTGTCCATGCTAGTTGCCCCTGAGGGAGACCCGGATGCACCAGACATCCCGACTCCTCGATCGTACGCTGAGGCGATCGAGGGTCCCTACTCCTCACAGTGGCAGTTAGCCATGGACACTGAGATGGCTTCCTGGAAGCCCACAGGCACCTACGTTGACGAGGTTCCCCCACCTGGGGTGAACATCCTTAGTGGCATGTGGATTTTCAGGGTGAAGCGGCCGCCGGGTTCTCCGCTTGTCTTCAAGGCTCGTTACGTTGCTCGAGGCTTCAGTCAGCGAGAGGGAGTAGACTTCTTCCAGACCCTCTCCCCCACCCCGAAGATGACCACTCTTTGGGTACTACTGCACGTTGCTGCTCAGCGCGACTATGAGCTTCACTCTCTTGACTTCAGCACTACTTTCTTGCAGGGCAGTCTGCACGAGGAGATCTGGCTGCGCCGCCCACCTGGCTTCACTGGGTCGTTCCCTCCTGGTACCTAGTGGAGCCTCCGCCGGCCGGTCTACGGTCTCCGCCAGGCGCCACGTGAGTGGCACGACACACTGAGGACTACTCTTGCGGCACTTGGGTTCTCTCCTTCTACTTCTGACCCGTCGCTGTTTCTACGCACCGACACTTCGCTACCGCCGTTGTACATCCTCGTGTACGTCGACGACTTGGTCTTTGCCACTGCTGACACTGAGTCTCTCGCGCACGTGAAGTCGGAGCTGCAGAAAAGACACACGTGCACAGACCTGGGTGAACTGCGCAGCTACCTTGGCTTGCAGATCACCCGGGACAGAGCACGCCGCACCATTACCCCGACTCAGTCACACATGGTGCAGCAGGTCCTTCAGCGCTTCGGCTTCAGCTGGTCCTCAACACAGGCCACTCCTCTGGCTATAGGTCACTCGCTCTCAGCTCTGCCTTCGGATGAGTCCGTAGAGTCGAGTGGTCCTTACCCAAAGCTAGTTGGTTGCCTCATGTACCTGATGACTTGCACTTGTCCTGACATAGCATACCCTCTTGGCCTTTTGGCTCGATACGTGGCTCCTGGTCGTCACCGAAAGGTGCACTGGGATGCTGCAAAGAGGGTATTGCGCTATTTGTGCAGTACATCAGGCATGGGGCTCGTGCTTGGAGGAGGGAGCTCAGTTGTTCTCACTGGGCACTCAGACGCTTCTTGGGTTGACGACCAGGCTACTCAGCGGTCGTCACAGAGTTACACCTTCAGCCTTGGCTCTGGTTCAGTTTCGTGGCGCTCTACTCGTTCGTCTTCGGTTCTTAGCTCCAGTTGTGAGGCTGAGATCTACGCCACAGCCATGGCTGCACAGGAGCTACGCTGGCTCACCTACCTGCTGACCAACCTTGAAGAGCGGCCTAGTTCTCCTCCAGTGCTGTACGTCGACAACAAGGCTGCCATTGCCTTGTGTGAGGAGCACAGACTGGAGCACAGAACGAAGCACATCGCTCTCCGTTACTTCCTTGCTCGTGAGCTTCAGCAGCGTGGTCAGCTTCGTCTGCGCTACGTGGCCTCTCAGGCCAACACCGCTGATATTTTCACCAAGGCACTTCAGCCTGGTGATCATCAGCGCTTCTGTACTTTGTTGGGGCTAGTGCCCACTTTGTCTCACTTGTTGTAGGCTTTGCCTGTACTGTGATCTCTATATATACTCCTGCCTGTTTGCTTTGCTAGGTTGAGATCACCCTTGCTGTCTGTACTACTTATATATACTTCTGCATGTGAACTGGCCTTGTGGCCCTTTGCTTGTGCTCGTAGTGTGTGGTGACGTTGTGATCCACCCTGAGCTTGCTTGCCTTTCTTGACTGGTCTTGTGACCCCTTGTTCTCCCCCACTTTGCCTATGGGGGTGTGTCAAACACTATATGTATTATTATTGTGTAGGATATAGTGGGTTAGCCTTTAGGGG